TTTGTAGAGAGACAAAAATGCACTGGTCGAAGCATGTCCAGCCACGCTCCAAACAAAACCAAGCATACGCTTAGCTTTGGAAACAATGGCATGGACATGGTCCTCCCAGGTCAATTTTGAGTTGAAAGTAACACCAAGGTATTTAATGGTGGTCACCGGACTAATAAGAGAGCCAGACAAGAAATAGGAAGACAATTGTTTATTACGCGAGCGTGTGATATGTAAAACATTTGTCTTCAGAACGTTGAAAGGCATGCGGTTTACTTCACTCCACAGAGTAAGTTGGTCAAGGTCTGCTTGAAGGTTGAGAGAGTCTTGAGGAGAGGTTATAGGACTATAAACAAGGGTGTCATCAGCAAAAATAGCAGTTTGACATTTAAGCGAACAAGCAATGTCATTAATAAAAAAATTAAAAAGAATGGGACCAAGTACACTGCCTTGCAATACCCCACTGGTTACCTCCACCCAGTTAGATGAGGATCCCTTAAATTGAACTTTCTGAAAACGTTTAGTCAAAAATGACTTTAACCAGTACCAGATATCCCCAGAGATGTTAAATTGCTGGGAAAGCTTATTTAGGAGAATATCATGAGGCATCCGGTCAAAGGCCTTTGAAATATCTAAAAAAATGGCATCAATGAGTGGTGGGGATCTTTGATCCAAAATATAGGACCAGTCATAAATGATAGTTGCAAGTTGCGTAGTACATGACTTTTTAGGTCAAAAACCGTGTTGGTTCTCAATGAGCAAACAATTATCAGTAGCATGCTGCAGAAGTGCTTGTACCACCAGCCTCTCCAGCATTTTACCCACAACAGATGTTAGAGCCACCGGGCGGTAGTTGTTAAAATCGGTAGTCACTCCTTTCTTAAATATAGGAGTGACATGTGCCCTCTTCCAACCCTCAGGCACGTTACCTGATGAGAGGGAAATATTAAACAACTCGCAAAGAACTGGAGAAAAAGTTGGAGCGCAAAGCTGGAGAAGCATTGGAGAGAGGTTATCTGGGCCTGCAGACTTGTTTGTTTGAAGTTTCTGCAGCATGCTAGTGACCTGCTCAACAGAAAAATAAACATTAGATAAGGTAGTGGATATAAACAAGGTAAGGGATGTTCAGGAATGTTCTCAGAATTATTAAAAACGGAAGAAAAAACGTTTTGAAAACACTGTGCAATATCTCCTGGATGTTCTATTTGTGTTCCATTATTTATAAAAACATTAGCACAAGAAGATTTACGTTTCATTCTGACATGACCCCAGAATCTACGTTTGTTATCAGAAGATGAGAACAACTTGTTTACATAGTTATAGTATGCTTTTTTGGTCTTATATTTTACCTCATTTCTAATTTCTTTATATTTTATCCAAGTATCCATTGATTGAGTCTTTACAAATTTTTTGAACAACGCTCTTTTCTTATTGGCAAGCTTTAGAATATCTTTAGAGATCCATGGCTTGTTCTTAGATTTCTTGCGTAATTTAACTGGGACACTGTCTTTAATTTCTCCCAAAAAGAAACCGAGGATGACGGCGGGCGGTATATGGTGCCAATAAGCCACTTACATTTGTGGCCATAGCACATCACCCATATCAGCTCAATGTCGTCAGGTTCAAAGTCGTTTAGACGTATTGGCTTGAGTGAGGTGTGTATTGCAGTTAGTATACCACCTCCCCTGTTACAACGATCTCTGCGAAAAATGACATGAGTTGAAGGCGTACTCACCGGGAGAACAGTATCCAAAGTCAACCACGTTTCAATAATGGAAATAAAGTCAAACTGCTGACTGTTGAGGAACATCTCTAGTGCATGGGACTTGCTATTAATACTTCGTGCATTAAAAAATATTCCAGAGAGCTCATTTCTTTCATTCGTACTATTTCTTTCACCATTTTGTGACGGAATAATTGGAACAGACGTAGGCCTATGCCTATCTGGCCCAGGGTTTATGTGAATGTCTCCTGAAAGAAGTAGCTGGAATGTTAAAGAGTGATTGCTTGTATACGGAATCCTTGATTTACCAAATTTCCTAAGCTGTCCTCCGGGCCTTACAGGATGCAAGTGTTTACAAATTCCTTGCAGGGCAGGAGCCTCACTATAGCCAGTAAAACAATGGCTCTGAAACATGCTTGGCTGACTCTGTTGGCCTAGCATTCTAGGGCTGTAAACATTCCAATTCAATAAAACAGCCAAGACTTCTGTAATTATTATGACTGAAATACATCGTATATACATCTTAGACATCGGATTGTTACAAAAGTAACAATTGAGAGGTACAGGTAACTGGTTTTTCAACAATATACTTAGCTCAATATACTTAGCTCTCACCTACAGTGTTAATGTTAATGATGCTGTTGATGATTTTATTTCTTTGGTCTTAGCATTTATTAAAGATGTTGTGCCAGTAGTAAAACCTAGACGGAGAGTACCACCATGGTTTGATGTTGAATTACGTAATCTTCTTCGTAAGAAGGAAAGGTTATTCAGGTTAAAAAAGAAACACCCTAATGCATCCAATAATGATAATTTTCAGCCACTAGAGCTGAATTCAAGAGACTTTCTCGTAGTAAATACTACAGTTATGTTACCAAATTATCAAACGATAAGACAACTAATCCTAAACGTTTTTGGGGCTGGATTAAATCCTCATATAATTGCAAAATTAAACCTGTAAACTTGAAACATGGTGATACTTCTGCCTCTTCTCCTGAGGAGAAAGCTAATTTATTTAATAAATACTTCAGTTCTGTATTCAATAATAGCGTTCCAAAGCCTATTTATCCTGACCTTCCAGATTATGACTTAGACAATATTTCTACTTTTAATATTGATATTTTACGTATCGAAACACTTTTACGTGTAAATAGATGTAAAAAAGTCATCTGGTAGTGATAACATAAGTAATATTATTCTTAAACTTGGTGCTCCTGCCATCTCTCAACCTTTGTGTATGCTCTTTAACTGGTCACTTAGTGAAGGTACGTTCCCTAGAGCATGGAAAATGGCCAATATACACCCTGTCCATAAAGGTGGTAAAAGAAATGAGGTCTGTAACTACAGGCCTGTTTCTATTGTCCCTACTATTGCTAAGATATATGAACGTATAATTTATGATGTGTTATATGACCATGTTGCTCCTGCACTTTCAATTGCTCAGCATGGATTTATTCCTAGCGTTCTTGTACTACTAATTAAGCTAACTTTTTAATTGTTGCATATAATGCTCTCAATAATATCTCTCAGTGTGATGTAATATATACTGACTTTTCAAAAGCATTTGACCGAGTTAATAACGATCTACTCATTTACAAGATCTCTAAATTCGGCGTTACTGGTAACTTATTGAAACTCCTTCGTAGCTATCTTACACATAGAGAACAGAGAGTTATTATGGATGGTGCTACGTCTGAATGGATATCGGTACAATTTGGTGTTCCTCAAGGCACTATTTTAGGACCTTTATGTTTTAATCTTTTCATCAATGACTTGCCTCATAATTTTACTTCGCAATGTCTATTATATGCTGATGACCTTAAATTGTTCCGACTGGTTAGTAAGATTGACGATGCCAAATCTATAATCTAAATCAAGACGATTTAGACATATTGTACTTATGGTGCAACACTTGGGAAATGTCCCTCAACTTAAACAAATGCAAGATTTTGACTATCACACTTAAACAACGTAAAATTTCTTTCCCTTATAATTTTAACGGCCACGTCTTGGAGGTCGTATATTTTCACCGTGACCTTGTTATTACTATTGATTCTAAGTTGACTTTTAATGAGCATATAAAACAGGTTTGCTGCAAAAGTAATAGAATGCTAGGCCTAATTAAATGCAACTGTTGGAATATTATGAACAAAAAAGCATTAACTATTATTGTTCACTTGTTAGACCTTATATCGAATTTAATTCTGTTATTTTTAATTGCATGTCTAATACATGCCTTACTAAAATTAATATTATTCAAAAACGATTTGTTAAATTTGTTTCTCGTACTTGTAATATCCCTTCCAATTATATCACTCTTCCTACTTTAAGTTCTAGACTAAATTACCTTGATTCTCTCTTTTTTTTTTATAATTGCGTTAATGGAGTTTATGGTTCTGATCTTATTTTCTGTTTTTGGTTTATCTGTTAAAACTTATCTATGTCGTAATTCTATCAGTTCCTTATTTAATGTTAAATTTTCTCGTGTTAATGCTACTAAATTTAGTTTTATTGTTCGATTACCTAAATTTTATAATTCTCTTGTTGATAAAGATAATTCTATTGATATTTATTATGATTCATTTAGAACGTTTAAACTTAAAATTAAGTTATATAATTAGATTTTTGACTGTGTTTTTTTATGTGTATTGTAACTGGATTGTTCTTTATTGTTATCTTTGTTTTATGTTATTCCATTCTGTAAGTGGCGGGCTCCCCGCTGTTGATTGTGAAATGAAATAAAATAAAAAATAAAATAAAATAATCATAACGGAAAATAGACATAATGTAAGCATTCGCCCACTGTATTGCTCAAGGTTATCGATTTTATCAGCCATTGAGTAATATTCATTTCTTAGCTCATCGTAACGCTATTCTAATGACACGAAGAAATGTCACCACAAAGGACTAGTCGTCATGGGTACTGGGTTTGGTCTACAGGAGTTCGTGCTTCGAACGTCATTCAATTCATAGAAGAAGCCATAAAATCGTAGTAGTAAAAACTTATGACGTCATCTAAATTTGCCAAAATATTTAGTTATCGTATACACGATCAATCGTTGTCGAATTATCCTAATGTAAAAAATTCTCTTATTTCTTTTATTTTCTATATGAAAAATTGCTTTTTGCTTTTTATCGTTATCGTTACAAGTATAAACAGGTCCTTAACACTATGTATTATCGTTTCGCTTTTTTTTTTTAAACGTCGTTACCACTATAGATTCTAATAATTTGTAAACAGTTCTGGGGATGATATAATGTGTTGGCTTATTTCAGCCACAATACTCACAAGATCCTTGTCTTCAGAAGGGAGATGAATATCGCCCCGTGCCGATTGATCCCGAAGCACTTCAGCGGAGGTACACTGATCGGTCGGTGGTATGCCTTGTTTGTGTGTGGTAGGCAGGGCTCCAACCTTGTTTGATTTGGTTTCCGATCGGGGAGCTAAATCTTCCTAATATAAAAATGCCAATAGTTGTAAGAAATAGTGAGTTTTGAGTTTTTTCGAAGAGCAATTTTTAAGAAGTTAGAACATACTTGAGACATAAGCAGTACTTACAGACTATTAATCATAGTAATACTAATTTTATTATTATATTATATTGTATGCGTATACAGTATAATTATACATATATAATTATTTAATTCATATCAATTACGAAAAAATGTGTATTATACCATTACTCATTTTGAAGTGTTAATTTACAAGTTAACCTAACACCGGATCCAAAATAATGCTACGTTTTATGTGAAGAATATATTACTTTTTGGATTTATTTAATAAATCTATAGAATTAATGTCTTTAAATTGTTTGGGAAGGTCATTCTGTGCCTTTGTACGTAATGGACTGTTTGGATTAGTAGTATAAACCCCTCTCCCACCTAGGTTTATTTCACCTAAGAGTCGTACTATTTCTACGAGTTAAAACTCTTGATCTTTGGAAAGGACCTATACGAGCTTATTACGTGTTAGCTACGAGTGAGGTACGACTTTATGGAGTTTGTTACGAGTTATGTACGAACTATGCCGAGCAGAGCACCGAGTTAACTACGAGATTATTGATATAATTACAAGTGTGTACCGAATTAGAATCGAGTTAGGTACGAGCCAACTCGGTGCGCTCGTACTTACTCGTACTCTTTTTTGGGTGCTCGCATCAAACTCGTAGATGACAAAACCGCATATATAGTACGGTATATATATGTATATATATATTATATATAGTATATATAGTATATATATATTATATATATATTATATATATTATATATTTTATATATATATAAAAATTTATATATATACATATATTTATATACATATATTTACATACATATATATACATACATATATACAGATACATACATACATTTGGGAACTGTTTACTGTGTTTTATGAACACTGACCTTTAAATATCCAAACTATATTTACCATGTCTCAAACCATTTTAATAAATCTGATCTATATCGAAAATTATATATATTTTTTTAAATGCCACAACAATCATAAATATGAAATTTTAATAGGACAGTGTAAATAAGCTTTCGGCTTGGAGACTTCTATATATTGTACGTTGTTGTTACATTAGTGGTTAAATTGTTGTTACAATAGTGGTTAATGAATTTGTTACAACAGTGGTTAAATCATTGTTACAATAGTGGTTAATGAAATTGTTACAACAGTGTTTGATTTTTGTTACAATAGTGGTTAATGTTACATTAATGGTTGATTTTTGTTACAATAGTGGTTAATGTTACATTAGTGGTTGATTGTTACATTAGTGGGTGATACAGCATCAAACTCGTAAATGACAAAACCGCCGACGAGTATCCAGAGTAGTGTACGAGCTAGGTAGGAGTACCCCGAGTACTCTATGAGCTACCCACGAGTTCTTCGAGTTTACTACGAGTTATCTACTCGTGGAGATAATTTTGGACGAGTTCAGAGCTGCTACGTGTAGGTAAGAGTCCTCTCAAAGCTTTCCGAATCGTCCTACGAGTTTTTGTCGAGTTTGCCGAGTTAGCAACTCGGCATTCTCTTGTAACTCGTATGCTGAAAAAACCCCTAGTGGGAGAGGGGCTGATCCTTTTCGAGCACCTGACTTCAGATCTACATATCTCGGATTTTAGCCATGAAACGGATTTTCTCTAATGTTCCGTTTACAATTTTAAATTATTTGCATTATGTGACCGTTTGTTGTCTTTTATGGGCTTATCCTATGTGCCTATATTAAAATATATATTACGCTATTTAAGAATCTATTTTTAGATCTAGTGTTCGTCCATTGATGCACAGTAGAGATTGTATTAGATCTCCGATCTTGTCCACGAACCTCCGACTAGTGCTGTCTGGTAAGAGCTTTATAGGACGCGTTAAGAATGACAATATTCTGTGTCTACTAACCGAGATTCCCGCCCCAAAACATTCCACAATCGAGTAGGCGCATAGCTGTTCCACTATTTGCATTCCAAAACGGCGGAGAGAGTAGATCTGATTGCCTTCTTAAAGAATACTTGGAAAGCAAAACAGTATACAAAGGCTTAAATTAAAGGAAAAAGGATATTCGAAATAAATGAAGAGAGGGAAATTTTATCAGCTCTACAGATAAATGAAAAGGAAATTTGGACACGTACGTTTATGGACTAAAAAGAATTGATAAGTAATATTTCTATAACATGTGATGATTATTATAGCCACTTTAAACCTCTCTTTAAATCTCTCTTTTAACAAAACATTATTTAATAAAGACCAACCCCAGATAGAAAACCCAAATACCTAGCCTAGGTCCATGCTTTGGTCGATCGTTTCGTTTGGAACTGCAGGGCCTACCCTAGTTTTCACGGAAGAGGCATGTAAAGCCGAAACGGATCCGTCTGCAGATATTGGGATTTTTTCCAGTGGATATTTAGTTTATTTTGTCATTCTGATTGGATTTTCTCTGTTCCGTCA